ACTTCTATATATATTCCATAGTATCTCCTAAGTCTTAACTTCAATGTTAATTAAGTAGAATTTTCCATAATGAAGCTAATGCTTTTAAATACTTTTGGCCTTCTAATGACTAAATCATGGTGGAAAGAAGTCTTATTAAATTATTAAGTTACAAGTGAATGCAATAAAAAAAATCCATTTACAAGTGAATGCAATAAAAAAAATCCGTTTTTTTACCAATCAACTAGTATCATAAACGTGGTAGCCAATCAGATACTATATATGAAAATTCATGAGTGGATTTTGATTGGTCAAAATTCTTCCATACTATGTCCTTCCTGCATCATGGATTTTCCCATTTTAATAATTTGAGTGGTACTTTGCAGAATCATTTTCGTTCACTAAGAGAAAATTAGTCTCTTTTTGCTTTCGAAAGTACTAAAATCAATTTATATATTGCTGACTTTGTAATTGAGATCCACTTCAGTCTCAAGGTGGAGACAGAGAATTGGCATGTGGAACTGAGATCAAATCAGTCCCCCGCAATGTCTCGTGTACACAAAACACCCCCGCCATGTATTGGGAACACCTCCCGATGATAATATCAGAAATGATGATGTCATCATCAGGAGATATTCCCAATATACAGCGGGGGTGTACTGTGGAACGTTGTGGGGGGTTGATTTGAACTCTGAAACTACAATGTCTTTGTATTATGGTCAATGGACCTCATGTGCACCTTGCTCTATCCCCCTAGTGTTTCTATTATTTTTATTGACCAAAATCTTTATTTAGGTTTTGGACTATTCAAAGAGAATTCACATCTGTGTCCACAAGTGCCCCACAGCACATCCCAATCACGTATTGGGAGCATCTCCCAATGACAAATACAGGAGATATTCCCAATACACGGTTAGGATGTGCTGTAGGGCACTTGTACGTGGGGGCACAAATGTAAACTCATTCAAATAAAACACAAATTACAAATTTTTGGAATGAATTACTCAAAGTAATATAAATTAATAACACCAAAAGAACAACTACAATTTTTTTAACATATTTTAGTAATATTCTTCCTTTAGATTGAACTAATGCAATATATAGAGCTGCAAATGTTGCAAATGCAACTAAAGGTGCAAAGTCACAGTATGAAGTGTGTAATATTTAGAAGGGTCTACCGTATCATTAGCATCGATCACCAGTAGCACAAAATATATTTCTATATATGCCATAGAATTTTCATAAAGTTATATTATTGCAAAAGGGTCATGGATGGTGCAAGCATTCTTTGAGCACTTCACTCAATTAATTTAAGTCCACCATCAACGTGAAAAAAAAAAAAAAGCAAGTCTTAAGTACAACGCTGGTTGGGTTTCCATCAGTGGGGTGCTCGGAAGGAGCACACATAGGCTCTGTGCAAATTATATAGCTTTTGGATACAAATTTTCTATTTTAGTGCATAACATTAGTAAATCAAGAATTCATTGCTTAGGAGAATGTACAATTGCGTACTATCAAATTACATTATTCCACAATATAATTTGACGTACTATCAAACTGTGCAATTTTTAGAAGGCCCATAAACTTAATTAGTATAGACATCACTCTTAGCTTGATGAGATGTAACCTTGGTAATGATGTAGTACCGGATTCAGACCAACTGGGTAAACATTTATAAAATTGGTTTTCGAAAACCCCTCTTAGTACATATAGGGAGAATATGATGCAGTACAAGAGAAGGCTGATAAGTTCAATGCAAATTGGGATCATTACAAGTCACATAAGAATCAGAAATGACGCTACTGGTCATCTTAGTAAATATTTACCAATATATCATCATCACAAAAATTTTATCTTAGTACGTTTTTATCAAGATGGCGCTATCTCAGAGTTTCCACCTTAGTTTGTTTTTACTAAGATATCATTATTTCAAATATATATTCAATTATGACTTTTCTTTTGAAGGATTTCAATAGGATTCTATTTTAGAGTGTTTTTTTAGATTATGATTTTATTTTCTAAAGAGTTTTAATAGGATTCTATTATGGAGTGTTTTCAGATTAGGACTAGGAGACATAAGGGTATATGCCTATATAGAGAGTAGATAGGGGAAGGATAAGGCAGTTCTCTCGTTATCAATTTTTTCTTAATTGTTTAATAAAAAATTCTTCTTCCTAAAATTTGACTTCTGCTCTTTTTTTCTTAAGTTTTTCTCACGTATTTCGTTTCCATACCGCGTAAGATGATCTAATTCACTAATTGAATGAATTTTCCTTAGGACTTCAATAAAATTTAGTTAATGATTCGCTCATTTTCTCTATGCAGTTAAAAATTTTGTATATATAAACTCAGGAAGTTTGGTTAATGGATGTATTACACAATATTCGAAACATGTTCCATTTATATTCAGACCATTTGCTCTACGTCAAAATAGTACTTTCTAATGACACCAATTCTGATTTAAGCTTTTGAAAATTTCTTTTGTGCAAGATTAACATTAATAGATCTTAGGCACTACTCCTGTACTCCGTTTCAGAAGGGTCCTATACTCCTATCAATCAAAGTTGCAAAGCTTAGAGAAGCCCTGTTAATTCTAATGTCTCTTGAAGCTTCGATGGTTTTGGCTCTCTTGGTTGAAGGTTACAGAACAATTAATTTTCACTCTCTAGCTCTCATAGAATAAACCATAACTAGCATTAATTAGATTGGACATATCTTTCCACGCCTAGACACATTTAAGGAATAAAAGCTCATAATCTGCTGTTCTCCATAGAGGAATCTCACGCCATAGGAGGTAGTCCTAAAACCAGACACGGCAACCTTATTATCTCTTCTCATTTTTCTACCCAACAATAATAGAAAGATTTCCTATATAAGTCGATCTGCTTCTCCATGTCTTCCAATGCTTTTCTCTCTCTTAAGAGAAAACCCCCCTGAAAATCTGTTTTTGTTGTTTTCTATTTTCATTCACCATGAAAAATTCTTCTAGCTATTTGCATGTACGTTGCCCAGTCCATGGCCTCCGTCGTCCAACTGATCCAATCTGTTGCAGTTCGCTATTGCGAGCATATCAGAAATGGTCAGAGAGGGAGAGCCAGCAATTAAACTGTCTCAATTCCTTTGGTCCCTCACCATACCCACAAAGAGAAAGAGGAGAAAACTCTAACGCAGGACGTGGCACTAAGCTCATTCAAGCACAGACTAGTCTTGATCTCTCGATACCATTAGAGGAGCTTAAGCTATCAGCGGTGGATCACAGTCAGATGATCCCTATTCAGACAAACCTCTCTCTCTCCCCTCCAGGGTCCGAGCTGGTTGCTTCTCTGCAGTGTCGGGATCTCTCGCCGCTGAGTCTGGAGCTTACCCTATCAATGGGGAGCGACAATAAGGTAATGCCGTATTGGAAAAACCTCTCTCTCGCTCCCCCGCTGCCCGACGTTGCTTCCTGGAATCCCAGTCTGAAGCAGACAAACTTCTCCCTTGCTCTAAAAGAACCGTTAAAGCTGGAACTTAAGCCATCGACGTGGCATTACGGTGAGGTAATGTCGAGTCAGGCAGCCGGAGTTGAACCAGAGGGGGAGGAGGTAGCTTTTCTCTACAATACTGGGCCGTATTTCGGTCAGCTGGAGGGACGGCAGTTGGAGAAAGCTACTGCTGCAGATATCAGAAATACGTCGCCAGAAGTAGTTGTGATCGATGACGACGACTCTGAAAAGAGCAACAATGAGTTTAAGAAGGGGAAGAAGAAGGTCTCTCATTGAAGATCAAAGTAGTGAGAGTTTGTAGGGTTTTTCTCTAACTGGGTCTTTCTTTTCTAGGTCTGCAGTTAATTGTTTTAATGGGTACGTTCATGGCTATCTATCGGTGATTGGAACGAAGTTAGTTTGCCCTTTTGCTGTTTTGTTGAATAAAAAATGAGTTGAGCTTTGTTATCTCTTCCAAATTCCACCCTCACTGAGATTTTTCTTCTTCTCTTTATTTGTACAAGCAAGAGGGGGAGAGAGAGGGAGAGGGAGGTGTGAATAAAAGAGCTAGGGTTTCTTCGGACTAGCAAGAAATGAACAAGTCCAGATTAATTAGCTGCACTTGATGGCTTTGTAAGGGGCTGTTCAACCAATAATAACGCCCCACGTCAGCCAACAAGTCCAGATTTTTATAGGTTAGACAGCTCCTAACACAGCCATCAAGTGCAGCTTAATCCGGATTGGGAATGAAGTCATTTTCAAGAATTACTAATAATGTATCTATTTCAGGTTCTTGAGAAAATTAAGTTGAAATGGGTTCATTTTCAAGAATTACTAAAATGGCTTCCATTCCACTATATATTGTGTTCCCACACCACATATATAAAAGCAGAATTTCATCAACCAATGAGATCCAATAGGTCAGTGAGAGATGCATCCAATGCATTTTATAAAATTAGAAAAGTAATTTCCCTCAAGCAGCCTCTGAATTAATGGATGAGTTTGATCATAATAACTAGAATAGTCTCTCTTTTGGTCACAGAATTTGACATTTGGGTTCCTGAAATCCTCAATCCTTCAAAAGTATTCTGAACCCCAAATGAGTAAGTGGTCGTGAAACTACCAAATATGGGGCCTACATGCCTGAAACTGGTGTTGATGAGAATTTCTTGGATGTACTTGGTCAATCTCTCAGATATTCGTTAATTTCTATTTGAATGGTTCAATCAATCCTGCTCCTTTCTTGTGCGGACGAAAAGCATGGCTATTCATTAAGCAACTGTTTTCATATTTTTAGATGCCATAATCGTGATTCTTTAAGATCAGATTCTAATCGAGTCTTCTGTTCTAATTTTGGGTTTTGGGTCATTATTTCTCATTGAAATTTTGGAAAACTAGGCTTTTGACATTAGGTCTCTCTGTTTCTTTTCAAGATAATTGGATCTTTAGGTAAGGTGGTGGAACCAGACAACCAAGAAAAATTTTGGCTTGATTGCTTCTTATTGATCGATGAGAAACTAGAGTTCTATAATTTAATTTGGTGCCCTTTAAACAGAAATGGAGAGCTTGTCTTTAGGTGACATTAAGAAGCAAGCATCTTCATTCCTTCAGGAGAAGTATAAAACAGTCAGGCTCACCTTGACTGACGTTACTAAGGCAGAATTGTAAGTGCATGCAGTTTTAATGTTAAATGATGATGAATGAATGTACTAGTATTTGCACTATAGAACAAAATCAATCCATAGGTGAACCCACCATTTGAATCAGCATTAAACCGATCATCTTAGTTGTAACTTTTCTGCAACTATTTATGTGAACATTTTATTCCTTCCATTATTGATCAATTCTTTTAATATTTTCCTTTTTATAATTAAATCCATGATCTGATGGGTAATTTCTCTAATGAGGTGGATTTTGGCCAATCTAATAATCATTTGAGAAGTAGTGATTCAATCACCAACTGATGATCAATTAGTTTGCAGGAAGGAAAGCTAGCATTAATGGCTTTTATTTCTTTTATCATACCATTTTGGGTACTATCTGTGCTTTCTTTCTCATTTTCAAGGTTGGCGGAGGAAGCAACCAACAATGATCCATGGGGTCCTGATGCTAGAACCATGACAAGAATAGCTGTGGCATCCTATGGCATTGATGATTATTGGAGAATTGTTGATGTTCTTCACAGGAGGTAATCTTTTTTCTTTCTTTCTTTCTTTTGAAAGAATCACAGGAGGTACTACATACAATAATTTAGCATCCCTATGTTGTAGTCTAATGTATTTATCAGATCCAATTCTGTAATAAATGAGCAACTTCCATGCATGGCGTTGAAATTGAAATCCATGCTTACAACTGGAAATTAAAATCATCATTCATCAGTGAAGATTTGTAACTTAGCCTTGGAATAAACTTTTCATTGCAGGTTATATGCGATTGACTGGAAGCAATGGAGGCAATCTTATAAATCATTGGTTCTGCTTGAATTCTTACTCACTCATGGACCTGAAGATTTTGCTGAAGAATTCCAATGTGATTCAGATGTCATTGAAGAGCTTGGAACATTTAAACATATCGATGAACAAGGGTAGCTGATCATCCTTATTTAATGTATTCAATTACATTGAGCATGTAAAATCACACAAGGAAAATTAAAAAACGGGCAAGCTTATGAATGTAATAAAGCGTTTTTATGGTACAGAACCACTCAAAAACATGGATGCGGAATTGCAGAAGTATGGGAGTGCAAATGCTTGGATTGCAAATTCTAATTTGTCTTAGTTTCATCAGCTTTTACCACAATTTGTTTGATTGCAGTGCAGATGATGAACTAAAATAGAACATAGAGCAGTAAATTCCAAATTGAAAATGAACCAGAAATTAAGAATTTATATTCTTCTCATTTGCACTCCTGTTCATGCATTTGTACTAGTGCAAAATGAAATTGCACTGCAAACAAACAAAGGGAGCCTTAGCTTTTCCTTTCTTGTGTCATTTCAGGTTAAATTGGGGTGACAACATGCAAAAGAAATCAGAGAGAATACTGCAACTCCTGGAAGGAGGAGAAGTACTCAAAGAAGAACGTTTCAAGGCTCTGAAGATAAGTAAGGAGATCCAAGGCTTTGGAAATGTAGTGGTTTCTTCTTCATCATCATCATCTCCATCATCATCTTCTTCTGCAAAAGTCAGCACTTCATCTTTTGGCTCATATTCTACCAGTAGTCCTACATGTCATGAGCTAGATGAGTTTCTGAGCAAAGATGAACTGCTAATACCAACCAAGAATCTGAATGAGAATTACTCTCAAGCAGGATTACCATCAGACGAGAAGCCCAGTACCTTTCCAGCTGCAGCTAATGATGAGGACGCAGAACGAAGACATCTCTGGGACTCTCACATTGAGGAATCAGGCTCACTTCTTGATCCTGAGGAGGAATATAAAGAAGAAGGAAAGGAAGGATTTTTTGGTGGAATTTGCTCGAAACTAAAAGACGGTAGTTCACCAAAGTTAGAAGGCAAGAAGGTGACCTTTAGGAGCTTGTCGGATGTTGGGAAGGTGGTGAAGAAGACGTTCAATCGTCAATTCTCTGCAGGATACTAATGGCGGTTTGGATGAGAAGCTCTGAGATGGAACGACGACTTGGATGGTGCATTTGTCTTGTACTATTTCAGTATGTCTCTGATTTGTGATCGAATGTATATAAAAACCTCAATTTGAACCTGCAATGAACAAAGCATCTCTCTCATCGATCAATCAATCACCAATGAGTTTCTGTTTATTGTTGCTTGGCTGTGTGAAGCAGCGCGACGTACTCGACCTGGCTAACTATACAAGCACCCGGACGATCGAGTCGGCTTCGGACTTGAAGCCTCATAAAAAGAACTAGGCATAGAGCCTTAGTAGAGAGAGAAGTGATAAAAGAAATTCTTGTATGTTATTAAAGCTCAGAAACATAAGTATTTACAATAAACACTGGTAAACTTGTAGAGTAAAATAACTAGGTAATTCGGACTTGTAAAACAACTAGGAAACATGACTTGTAAAGCAACTTCGAACCCTTCTTCAATATGCCTTTGACGTCCACCGTTCGATGTCCACCATCATTCGATGCAGGTTGGTTGGCATAAGGAGCATAAGGAGTCCTTTCTAAACTTGAGCTGGCGTCGGTTGGTTCGGTGGGTCTCGAGCTAGCCCTCCATCATTCTCCCCCACTTGGAAAGAACTTAACCTCGAGTCATGATCAGGATAGGCAAGCATCACTTCCGGCAAATAATGATGAAGATCAACAATATTAAACGTTTTGAAAATACCCATGTGGTTTGGCAAGTCCATTATATAAGCGTTGTCATTGATCTTCTTAATAATCTTGTACGGACAGTACTTCCGAGGCTGTAGCTTGCTAAGCTTCCCGACGGGTACACGTTCCTTCCTTAAGAACACCATGACTTCATCACCGACTTCAAACACCCGGTACCTACGATGCCTGTCAGCTGCAAGTTTATACTTCGCATTGGTCCTTTGAAGTTTCTGTTGTACTTCCTCTTGTACTGACTGAACCTGTCCTGCCAACTGCTCTGCGGAGGTACTAAGGCCTGATACCCTGGGTAGCTTCACTAAGTCCAACGCATGGTTAGGGACTTTCATATAAACAATAGAAAATGGGGATCTACCTGTAGAGCTATGAACTGCATTGTTGTAGGCAAACTTTGTTTGTGCAATGGCAAAGTCCCACTGCTTCGGCCTCTCTCTGCAAATACTGCGGATCAGGTTACCTAGAGTTCGATTTACAACTTCTGTCTGCCCATCAGTCTGCGGATGAGCTGTATTGCTGAAATTTAATGACGAGTCAAATAGCCTTCACAAGGTCATTCAGAAGTGACTTAGGAACCTCGTATCTCGGTCCAACGTAATGGTCTTAGGCACCCCACGTAAACGGACAATCTCCCTGAAGAATAGTTTAGTTGTTGCTGTCGCATCCGCGGTCTTCTTGCATGGGAGGAAATGTGCCATCTTGGAAAATCGGTCAACAACAACAAAGACGGAATCCATGTTTCGTGGATTCTTCGGCAAGCCCAGCATGAAATCCATAGACAAGTCTTCCCAAATAGCAGTAGGAACTGGTAAAGGCATGTAAATACCAGTATTCTGGGTCTGTCCCTTAGTTGTCTGACATATATAGCACCTACTCACGATAGTGGTCACATCTCTTCTCAGTTTAGGCCAATAGTAACGCCCCTTGATAGCCTCAATCGTCTTGTCCCTCCTGAGGTGTCCTGCTAAGCCGCCACCATGCAAGTCCCTAATGACTTTCTCGCGAAGGGATATGCAAGGAATACACAATTGGTCTCCCTTAATAAGAAATCCATCATGTACGTAGAAATCACCCGCTGGCTGCCTGTTCATGCATTTCTCCCAAACCTGCTTGAAGTCTTCATTCTGGGCGTACAGATCTTTCAAACATTCAAAGCCCACAATTTTGATACTGAGAGTCTTAATCAAGGCCACACGTCTGCTCAAAGCATCTGCCACTGTATTCTGTTGTCCAACCTCATACACAATTTTGTATGGGAATTTATCAATAAAAACAAACCACCTAGCATGCAGATCACTCATCAATTGTTTTTGCTTACTTAAATACTTAAGAACTTGATGGTCGATGTAGAAGGCAAATTCTTTAGCAATCAAATAGTGTTCCTAGGTCTTCAATACTCTCACAACAGCATAAAACTCTTTATCATAAATGAACCACTTCTTTTTAGCTTCTAGCTTCTCACTAAAGAAAGCAACTGGTCTCTCCTCTTGTGATAACACAGCCCCTATGCCCACTCCACTAGCATCACACTCAACCTCAAATAATTTGTCAAAGCTTGGCAGAGCTAAGACAGGAGCGGTACATAACTTCTCTTTTATTAGAGCAAAACTTTGCTCTTGTTCCTCTCCCCATTGGAACTTACATTTCTTCAAACACTCAGTGATATGAGCTACAATACTACTAAAGTGTTTGATAAACCGCCTATAGAAAGTTGCTAACTCATGAAAATAACTTACGTCAATGACGTTCGTTGGGGTTGGCCACTCCCTAATGGCTCGCACTTTCTCCTCATCCACTTTAATTCTATCCTTACTTACAACGAAACCTAAGAACAATAAACTATCGCTCATAAAAGTACACTTCTTTAAATTAACATATAGTTTATTTTCCCTTAACGCACTCAATACCCCTCGGATATGTCCTATGTGCTCATCAACAGATTTGCTATAAATCAAAATATCATCAAAATGTACCACAACAAATTTACCAATGAAAGGGCGTAGTACCTGATTCATCAGTCTCAGGAAAGTGCTTGGTGCGTTAGTTAGTCCAAAAGGCATGACTAACCACTCAAACAATCCATCTATTGTCTTGAAAGCGGTATTCCATTCATCTCCGGGATGGATTCTGATCTGATGATAACCACTCCTGAGATCGATATTGGAAAAGACCACAAACCCCATCAAGTTGATCAAGCATGTCATCCAGCCTAGGAATGGGAAACTTGTAGCCAATAGTGATCTTGTTGATTGCTTTGCTGTCAATACACATCCTCCAACTCCCATCTTTCTTCGGTGTTAATAATGTCGGTACCGCACAAGGACTCATGCTAACTTGGATGTGCCCCTTTTTCAACAGTTCCTCTACCTTCTCCCGTAAAATCTCATTCTCTTTAGGACTCATTCTGTAGTGTGGCAGATTAGGTAGGCTTAGCACCAGGAACAAAATCAATATGGTGTTGAATGTCTCGCATGGGTGGAAGCTCATTAGGTAACTCGTCAGAAACTACATCATGAAACTCGTCGAGCAGTCCCTACGCTTCCACTGGAATTTTGTTCTTCCCTAGTGGTTCACTCATACTCTCCCCTTTTATAACCAGTAAGTGGACCTCGCGGGTATCTTTACATTCCCTTACAAACTCAAAGTGGCGATGTGTTACGGTAAGAAAATTCCTCTCCTCTACCTTTGAACCCTTGGTTTGGTTCTTTTACGCCATAGGTAATAGTGTATAGCGCACACCCTCTTTCTCAAACTGGTATGTGTTCTTCCTACCCAAGTGTTTGGCATTTGCATCAAACTGCCAACGCCTACCAAGCAAAATATGGCAAGCATCCATATCCACAATATCACAATAAACCTCATCAATATACTTACCAATAGAGAATGAAACCTTGCAGCGTTCCTCCACACGTATGCCCCCGACTTCCTTGATCCAACCAATCGTGTAAGGGTTCGGGTGTTTCTCAAGAATTAGTTGTAGTTTCTTCACCACATCTCTACCGATAATATTCTCCTGACTATCGCTATTAATAATCAATTCAAACAATTGACCTTGTACCGTACACTTAGTGCGAAACAGCCGGTGTCATTGTGTATCATCTTTACTTCTCTGAGATAGCATGAGCTTCCTCACAACACATGTGTACTCTTCATGCTCATAAGTACCTTCTTCGTCCTCTCCATCGGGCCCACAATATACTTCGTCATCACCAACTTCTTCCTCATCCCTCTCCACCATGTTAACTGCCTTTCTCCTGGGATAGTCACTAGACCTATACCCAACTTCATTGCACTTGCAACACTTAAAAGGAGTAGGTTTTGCATAGGGATTAATGGTTTTAGGAGGGTTTGAAGTATTACCTCGAGTGTTTCCTCCCGTTGTGGTCTTACTAGTGTTAGCTACATTTGGCGGGTGGGAGGGTTGTACCCTTGAGTTGGCTTGCCCTCGTCAACCGCTGCGGGCCTGTTGTCGTTCCTGCTATACCGTCGATAATTATCGGCTCGAGTCCTCTCTTGGAACATTAACTCAACCTTCAAAGCTAAGTTCCTCGCTTCTTGCACACTCATAACCATCTGGACTCCAATCTTGTCTTGAATAGCAGGCTTCAAACCACTCAAATAACAAGCTGCCTGTTAATTGTCGCTTTCTAACAACTGGTTCCTTTCAGCCAATCTCAGAAATTCTAAGGTGTACTCGTTCACGCTTCTTGTTCCCTGTGCACATTGTTGATATGACTCAAGCATATATTGTTCATAATTAGGAGGCAAAAACCTACCTCTTAGTAATTGTTTCATGCGTCTCCACGTTTGAACTGGACCTCTTCCTTCTTTGATTCGAGTCTCCCTCATTCATTCCCACCAGATAGATGCTCCTCCCTTCAATAAAAAAGCTACCAGTTTCACCCTTCTTTCTTCCGGGATCTCCATGTACTCAAAGAAACGGTCGACCTCGGTGATCCAATCTAGAAGGCCCTCTATATCCAGATCTCCACTAAAAGTAGGGATATCTACCTTGAGTTTAAACTCATCATCATTCCAACGGCGATTAAAATTGCCTTGATTTCGCCAATTCCTACCGGTCCTGCCATCACCGAGAATAACTGGAGCAACGCCGAACTCTAGCTCGTCGTCGCTATCATCATCAATAATAGGGTTCTTGGGTATGGGATCAATGATTGGCCTACCGTGATCGTCTCCCCCGGCTTGGTGCAATGCGTTATCCCTATTCCTTGGAATATCCTCCCGCAACAAAGTTCGTAGTTGTCCAGCGATCTCTACTAACTGTTGC